TTTTAAAAATGGAACTCCCATTTGACCCACTGATGCCACTGCTAGGAATATATCCCAAGAAACCAGAAACACCAATCAGAAAGGATATATGCATCCCTCTGTTCATAGCAGCACAATTTACCATAGAAGATTTGGAGAAACAGTCCAAGTGCCAATCAGTAGATGAGTGGATAAAAAAGCTGTGGTACATTTACACAAAGGAATACTACTTGGCTATCAAAAAGAAGGAAATCTTAGCTTTTTTTATAGCATGGATGGACCTAGAGAGCATTATACTAAGTGAAATAAACCAGTCAGAGAAAGATAGGTACCATATGATTTCATTCATGTGTGGAATCCAATGAAGCAAAATAGAGACAGACTCAGATAGAGAGCTGATTGTTAGCTGTTGACGGGAGTGAGTGAGTTGGGGGTTTGGATGGGTGTTGGTGGAGGGGTTGAGCGAAAAAGAAAAAAAAAGAGAAAAAACTGGGGTAATAGATCAACTGAAGGACTTGTATGCATGCATATAAGCATAACCAATGGACACAAGACACTGGTGGGTAGGGGAGGCCGGGGGAAGGTCAAGGGGGTAAAAAGGAGACCTATGTACTACTCTTTGTAACATTTTAAGCAATAAAACAAAATTTACAAAAAAATAAAATAAGGTTATTTAATCACAATAAAGTGTTATAAATGTTATACTCTACATATTTTCACAACCTACTTTAAAAAATAACAAAACTCATTTTACCACTTGGGAATCTTAATGCTGGAAAACATTCTGATTTAATTTGTTTTTATTTATTATTTTATAAACTTTAACTTTTTAAAATGACTCCTAATGTGTTATTGAGTGAGCTATAATTTATTGAAAAATTTGTCATGATTAAATTATAATTTATTAAATTTTATTATTATAAATGATTTTTCATTTTAATGTCCCATGTTGATTGATGTATGTTGGAAGTTGACTATGGGGGTGAAACTTAAAGGCTAAAACTGTTTTTCCAAACGGTATTTGTATCTTATATTTGGTTTCATTTCCTTAGTCAATCTGACCACAAGAACCCCGACACCCATGTTTCTTTGCTTTGCTGTGACAATGGGAAGGGTCAAAAGAAAGAATTTTATGGCTTTTCTAGTCAGGTTTCAATTTGCTATGGGGAAAGCTTTAAGTGATTTCAACTGTGAACATGCCCCAGCTTTGACTATCGTGTCTAAAAGATGAAAGAAGCATCCCCACCCCTCCTACCTGTCATGATTTATTCATGGGAGACTGCAAAATCGCACCCCCGAAAAGCCCCGACAAATCTCAGATTTAACAATGACAAAGGACCATCAATTGAAACTTCCTTATGATGACTTGCAACTTGTATTTACTTAGAGCGATTCTCTCTTTCAGTTCCAAAACTCCCACAAGTTCCAGCTGAGGCCACATTTGGCAGAATAAGACTGAAGAACAGCCTTTTTTACAGTGTCTTTCTCAGGCTATAGCCTTATATTGCTTCCATAACTTGATTCCCCATCTCAATAAATACACAAATAGAACACATACAAGCAGATACCTTATAGTTATCACACGTACACCAATGCTCTTGAGGGTTTCCAGGGGCACAGGCATCTTTGGGAACAACCTTACAGGGGGCGCTCAGAGACAGCTGCTGTGCAGAGACCTTGAGTGGCTGGGAAGGACCCCATTTGCTGTCCCGCGCGGCGGACAGACCCCTATTCTCTGTCTCCTCAGAGCCACCGGGAGAAAAAGAAGCCTCCCTGGATGGAGTGAACTGCTGAGTGTGCAGGTAATGAAACATGATTCTGTGTCAGTGAGGATTACATTGAATACGTCCCTGCTTTAAATTCCTATTTCAGGCTTTGAACTTGAAAAGGGACCCAGGCCTCCGTCCCAGGTAAAGAACGAAACGTGGCTCACGTCCCATCACCTGCTCTTGTGCCTGTTCTCAGCCGGGCCTAGGACCGAAGAACACAGACATCAGAGTAGAATTTAAGGTACTCTCAGCTTTCTGAGTCTAAAGGAGAAGCAAGGACTCGTTTGGATTCACATGGATGCCCAGGGAGAGGTGAAAAGGTGTGGCTGGATTCCAGGTGTGTGAGAGAACGTGGGCAGAGCCCAGGGTCCTACTGGGGAGTGGAGGTGGCACAAAGACGTTCTCTACCTCTGTCTGCAGACTGAGGACCGCTGTCCATGCTCTCCCCAGACCTCGGAAGACAGTCCTTACCTCCAGGAAAACCAACCCTCTGCCTTTGTTCTAGTGAGAAGAATGTGCATCTTTTGGGCGGGTTCCATGCTGTTGCTTACATACTTAGTGAGAGGCGTGTAAGCTGGCCTTAGACCCACTCACACACTCACTACTTCGCCCTGATTTGTGCATTTTCCCTGCTGCTCTTTCCTCACCCACAATTTCTTCACTGAAATTTCTACTGCATCACAAACACATCCTGCTCAAGGACAGGTAGTGATTGATTCTATTTGTGACGCTCCACTGCTTCTCATGCTGGAAATCTTTCTAGAAGAGGCTTAGAAACTGGAGTGAAGCCAGAGGGTGGGGCTTCTAGGAATCATTTATAATCTGCCACTTGCAGAGCTCACACACACAACTACACAATTAGGAAGAGCTGCCCAACAGAAGACACAACAATGGCCGTGGTACAGGTGAGCTGAAATGGCACAGACTTCAGGGATCCCAGGTCCCGTAAAGGAAGGAGGAAAGACTGCAAGATTGTTCAAGATGAAAATATTTGGGGTACTTGGTAATTGTGAATGTGAGGAAGAGAGACCCGTGGCATATGATGGTGGAATCCTTACGGGGAAGTGTGTGTTGACCCTGGGTCAGTGTAATCCAATGCCAGCATTTGGTGGTGTCTGACTGAGTGTCTGATTGAGACACTGTGACTTTGTGTGGGGAGTGGACAGCTGACTGGGATGAGGAACTGTGTGTGAGGGACTGTGTGTGTGTGTGTGTGTGTGTGTGTGTGTGCAGCTGGGGCAGAGGTTGAGCAGTTGGGAGTGTTGGCAGGTATGTGATATGGTGAGCCCCACGTCTCTGTGTGACTCTGTGTGTGATCATCTGTGACTGCGTGTTGAATTGTGAATGTTTGTGCCCGTATCTGCATGTGAGTTCTCCCCTACATGGTAGTGACTTTTAAGTAACTGTATGTCTTTAAGTAACTGTATGAGCATCATTGTGGCTCCTGGTGGGCAGAGCTGGAGGTCTTGGGGAGAGTAGGTTTCCCAGGACTCCTCCCTGAGCATCAATGAGAGCAGATGAGTCAGTCCTCAGAGCCTCTTCTCAAGAAGCCTGAGGGGAGGTGCACTCAGGCTGTGGGGCACTGGATCTCCTGTCTCGGTCAGCACACAGTGACCCCTGCTCCTGCCTCAGGGCTCCTCCCCAACTCAGTCCTTCCTCTGTCTTAAAAACAAAAACAAAAAAGGGTGAGCAGGTCCTGACTCTGGGGAAGGTGGTTGTGGGAATTGGTTTCAGAGAATGGATCACCTGAAGACGGAAGGAACAAAATCAGCTTCAGTCCAGACAAAGCTTACAGTAGATACCAATGAACAATGTGTAGATTTTCTTTTCTTTTTTTCTTTTGTTTTTTTTTAAGAGCTAATAGTATTTATTTTTTTTATTTTTTTAATATATTTTTTATTGATTAAGATATTACATAAAGGAGAGAGATAGAGAATTAGAAACATCGATGAGAGAGAAACATCGACCAGTTGCCTCCTGCACAACCCCTACTGGGGATGTGCCCACAACCAAGGTGCATGTCCTTGACCAGAATCGAACCTGGGACCCTTCAGT